TAGAAAGTTTGAGCTGATTCCGACAAATATAATTTTTGAGTTATGAGCATTAAAAAACAAGCCAAAAATTAGTTCCGTAATCACCCCCAATTTTTATTCCGTTTTTTGACTTACTTAGTTGTGTGTTAGCCTAAAACACAACTAAGTACATGTAAGTTGTGTTTTAATGTTAGACACAACATTAGTTTTAGCCCTCACTAAATCAATTAGTGTTTAACATAATGTCACCTCCTCCACATTATAATGAGACACACATTAACTGATCAATCATTAGCTGATACTAATGGACTAATGTTCATATACTGTATATTACATACAGTCACTAGTCAATAGTGTCTGCTGGAGTAGAGGAGGAGGTGTCTGTTATAAGGAGTGTATCTGTTAATAGTATCACATTGTACTAATAATAGTGATAATAGTATTTAATAATAATTGTTTTTAATAGCTGTTTGTCGTTCCTAAACTGTTTGACTCCTCCCACTACTGTCACTAGTAATGTTATCATTATCTTCAATGAGACACAATAATAATTGTTAGTTTTATCATAACTGCTGGTAGTTCGTCATCAACAGCTGCTAGTAGGACCAGTCATCAGGTAATTACATATTAATAAATGATTCAGTCACTGATGTACATTATATTATAAATAGGAACTACTGTAGCATCATATTGTTCATCATCTACTAGACTGTACTATATAGCAATGATACTAATCAACCAACAGCTAAAACCATGTATACACCTTGTATTGTTATAAAATTAAAGGTAAGGATTCCTTATTAAATGCTCATAATTATTCAAACCTTCTATCTGTATGATAAAACATTGCTAGTATAGCCTACATAATGATCAGTGAGTAACTAATTATAATTATCCGAGGGGGTCTAATTCTGTCCTTTTTTACTGGCCCCTGAAGTTTACTGTCGTGTCAAGTAACCATTATTTGTACATTAATTTTGTACATTATCAATGATACATAATGAATGGTCTGTAGTAATATGTTATCTCCTCCAATGGAAGAGACACACAGCACATATTTAGTACACTAGTCAATAGTGTCTGCTGGAGTAGAGGAGGAGGTGTCTGTTATAAGGAGTGTATCTGTTAATAGTATCACATTGTACTAATAATAGTGATAATAGTATTTAATAATAATTGTTTTTAATAGTTGTTTGTCAGTCCCAAACTGTTTGACTCCTCCCACTACTGTCACTAGTAATGTTATCATTATCTTCAATGAGACACAGGATATATTATAATAATTGTTAGTTTTATAGTAACTGCTGGTAGTTCATCAACAACAGCTGCTACTAGGACCAATCATCAGGTAATTACATAATAATAAATGATTCAGTCACTGATGTACATTATACCTAATGATTATGCTATAAATAGGAACTACTGAACTACTGTATCTTAATTACTGTTCATTTAGTGATTATCAACCAATTTAATACTTATTGTATAG